TATTATATCATGCAGATACATTAATGTGATCTACTGGCTTTATTTGATGTAGAACATGTGAAATCCTGAAGAACTCCTTAGGTTGTTTGTTTGGGTTTTTTAATTAATTGAAAGTTAATTTAGAGAAACAATAAATGCTTAAAAACAGAAATTGTAAAAATACCTTCTTTACACTACTTTAGACTTCTTAAGTTCACCTTAATTAATGTTTTGAACTATCCTTACACTTTTCTCTAAGGAACTCTGACATCAACAAGCAGAAACTGCTGACTCTTTCTCATGAAGAGAGTTCTATTCAATTAGAAGGCTTCTTGTTTGTTCTGCAGCCCAGACCTGCTGTATTTGCTGATATTTTGCCTTTAGTTTTTCTCAGCTGTATCATTCTAATAAAAAACCCACAGGCACTGTGTTACAGCTCACTCCTGTTAAAAGGTTAATGTCTTACTTTTTGCCATGATACAATCCTTTGGGGGTGGGGGGATGGGTTCTTGCTTTAAAAAAAGGGGAAAATTAAGATTTACTTTGCCTCGAAAAACAGGCCTTGAAAGATAAGGAAAATGATGAGCTTGATATTCAGCTGAGAGTGTTTGATGAGAACAAAGATGAAGACCACTTTGAACTGTCACACCGTCTCAGTGATATCAAAGCTGAAATGGAATATCCTTTATGGAAATGGTGTTAGAACTTTTTGCATCATTTAAGAACTATATTAAATGTAAGTTATAGTGATGTACATGTGGTTTATTTGTTGCAGTTGTTTATCTGTTGCAGGGAATTTGTCAAGCAGATTTTCTTTCCAGTTGCTTTTTTTGTTAAAAAATGCTTAGAAAATATTTAGAAAACTAGTGCCTTGTGGTTTTCTTTTGGATTTTGTTTGGTTGGTTTATTTTCTTAACAATGTTTGCACCGATGTGAGTGAAGTATTTCATCTGCTGTATAACTTGGTCAAAGACACTTCTTCTGAAAATTACTTCTTGTCAATTCTCCAACACTTCCTTCTCATCAGGAATGATTACTATATCAGGTAAGTGTCAGCTCTCAGGTTGGATTTTTTTGGAGGGAATAGGGACAAGAAAAGAAATCAAGACCCCAGTAAACTGAGTAGCTCGTAATCATGCCTGAAAAGTCATGAGACTGATGTGTTCTTTGTCTTGCTGCTCTATGTTAGTATTGAAAAGATCTTATTAAATATAATAATGCTGGTTTCAGCAACTTTAACCTTAGTCTAACACCCTGATCCCAAGAATCTCTTACTTTATTGAACACTTTTTCTTTCTTTGTTTCTTACCTTCATGACTTCAAGGAACTTGACATTAAGTTGTATAACCAATAATTGAAAATACTTCCAACAGTGCCTTGTATCTTTTCTTTCATTGTAAACTTCTCTTATGTGTATTTAAGTGTCTTTGCAGGGTCAAGGTATCACATGCAAAATCTTGGCAAATAAGAGTACAAATAAGACTTTTAACCTGATATTTTTACTGACGATTGTGTAATTCATATATTAGGAGTTAAAGTTGTTCCCCTTCAATAAATGCTTGTGCTTGTTCTCACTGTCTTGTAAAATGTTTCCTGTTTTAGACCTCAGTATTACAAGATCATAGAAGAATGTGTGTCCCAGATCGTGTTGCACTGCAGTGGCATGGACCCAGATTTTAAATATCGGGGAAGGTTGGACGTGAATTTTACCCATCTTGTTGGTTTGTACACTTTAAGCAATTTTACCTTGTTCTACCCAAGTGCATGTTTCTCTTTGTGTCCTTCTGTCTAGACTTTCCTTGACTGTCGATTTTTTCAGTTTTCTGGAAATGTTCATGTAAGCTACAGGTGCACTTGTGGAGAAGGCCAGATCAAATGCTGCAGCCTTTAATGGAATGAGGGTGTGAAAAGAAAATTTGTCTGTTTCTTTTGTGTCATGGGCTCAGAGGGTCATTATGATTGGGAGGCACCTCAGACCTGTGATAGGTTTTATGTGACTTCTGTGTGGTATTTTATTTAAATTCTAGATGCATGTGTGGACAAAGCTAAAGTAGAAGAGAGTGAAAAGAAAGCAGCAGAATTTTCCAGAAAGGTAAGTCCCACTCCTTGCTCTCTTTAAGGTATGGAACAGAAACCTGACAGGAACACAGTAGGCTTCTTTATTACTAAATGCAGGAGAGACATTTAAAATTATTTCTGTAGGAAGAATTCCAGCTCAGTATATTTCATGTAATAAACATTTTTTTTGGGATATTTTTAAATAAATTGACAGGTCCTTCTGCTTTATCACTATTGGTGTTTGTGCTGAAAATATTTTGATACAATATCTTTTCTCATATTACTGAAATTGTTGTTTCCTAGATTATGTTGATGAATTATTTGTTAATCCCGTCTGATCACATCCTATCTAAGGATATGAAGTGCTCAGTGGACTATTTGAGGAGCAATAGTATTGAAGTTCATATACTATGTATTAAAAGCATTCAAAGTTGTGATTTTTGTTGGGCTGGTCTTGGAAGACTTTTGCAGGCTAAAAGGCAGTACATGTTCTTGAACATGGTAACTGCATATTTGTTTGTAATGAATTTAAGGTCACTGCATGACATGTAAACTCAAGTTTAGTTTGAGAAGTCTGCAGTGTTGTGTTAGGGCTGGAAAACCTGTACTAAGCAGCTGGATCTGAGTGGTTCTATGTCACTGACTTATTACTGATGGAAGAAATTATGTGGTATTAAAGGAGGACATACTAGAAAAATGCTTCTAACAAAAGTTAGAAGTGCATCTATTGTTCTAGTTATGATATTGCTCAAAGAATTCCTGAAAATATAGTATTTAGTATGGACATAAACAGACAAACACTTCTGGTTAATTGTTACAGTTTGATGAAGAGTTCACAGCTCGACAAGAGGCACAAGTGGAGCTTCAGAAACGAGAAGAGAAAATCAAAGAACTCGAAACAGAAATCAAACAGCTACAAACCCAGGTAATAAAACTATATCACCTTAAGTTGCACAGCTGAGTTGCTTGGGGTTTTTTTATTTTTCTTTAAGGAATTGAAATTGCCCTGGAGTATCTTGTCTCTGGGAGTTTGAAATGTCTGTTATAGTTGTATTGATTTGTTTTTCAGCCAGCTTAAGTTACTAAGGATAGTTAATGGAGGTAACATTTTTCAAACACCAATATATTCAACACCTGTCATAGGTACTGGCTTTTTTGAGGAAAAAAATTTCCTTAGGCTATAAAAATTTTGAATCCAGCCAGATTTTTATTTTTTTTTTTGCCTCCAAGTATTTGTTTGTGCTTTAACATTGCTACTTCTGTATGTTTTGCAGAGAGTTTTGGTTTTAGAAGGCTTTATTTTTAAAGCCTTTTATTCTTATGTATATTTTTTACTTAGAGTTTTATATAAAACTTTTTCCTTTTTATTTTTTACGCCAGCTTTGGGTTTTAGACTTGTTGTTTATACCCTTTAGGAACTAACAGATATTATGGTTTGGTGCTTTTGCTTCAACTTGGCTTTTTTCCTGTTTCTTTGGTGCTAGGCAAGGTCTGCCTGTTGCCTTTTTTCTTTAATGCCTATGATCTCACTTCTTGTTTGGATTGTGAGGTGGAGACAGACACTCCTGTTGCTGCTTTGTTCTTAACAAATCTCATGTTGGTTAGAAATTTCTGCAAGATAACGTTACACTGAAATTAGTCTGTTTTAGTGAGTTTTTCTCCAGTTGTTGCATTGTAGCTTGCGTATTAGTTTGTGGACCCGAAGAAATACATGCCTTATGCAAAGTCAAAAATTTTTTTTAGTCTAATTAATTATTAATCCTGTTTTATTGATTCTAACACAGTTCAGATTATCTAGATATTACAGCTCACTCACAGTAATGGTGTTATTAACACTTCTATTATCTGCCTTTTTCTTCTCTAGTACAGTATGTTATGGCACTTGTTTTAGATTCACTCACCTCTAGTGGTTTAACATGCTGCTGTTTCTCTTCCTTGTTCCTTTTGCATCTTATTAGAGCAGATATTGCTATTGTTCTTTCTTCTGATTACCAAAGAAACATCTACAGATATAAAACCAAGCAGGGCAGGCTGTTGCACATCCTCCAGCCCTACATGATGTCAGGATAGTTATGAACAACTATGTCCTTGTAACCTCTTGCACTGCAATAGCTGCTCCAGTGATTACTGTGGAAAATTTTTCACCACCACATTAGTGCTGTTAAAATTCAGCATGGTTGTTCTCATCTCAGATGCCCTGGCTTGCCAGGGTTTTCTAAGTGGGATAAATGTTTTGTGCATTGGTAAGAAATAAAATGTTGTTCTGTTCACTTAAATGTTACTGCTACTATTAAATTTTCTTTAAAATTGAAACAATTTGTTTTTATAAAAATGCTAGGTTATTCAGTTTACTTGGCAGTTTTATGGTACATGGTACAATCTATTGTTATTGTTTCTCATTTAAATAGGAGAACAGTTGCATTTCTCACTCTCTTGAGGTGCAGATGACTAAAAGGCACCCTAGCTGGTTCACCTCCTGTCCCCAGTGAAAAGAATTGTTCTTTTGTATTCCAGGGTCCAGTCCTGACAGGTCAACTGGCAGAAGGACCAACATTACCTGCCACCCTGCCAAGCGAGAACGCATCACCATCTCCAGCGCCTCCACTGCCTGGTGGAGCAATTCCGCCTCCTCCTCCGCTGCCTGGGGGAGCAGCAATTCCTCCTCCTCCTCCGCTGCCTGGGGGAGCAGCAATTCCTCCTCCGCCTCCCCTACCTGGTGGAGCAGCAATTCCTCCTCCGCCTCCCCTACCTGGTGGAACAGCAATTCCTCCTCCTCCTCCCCTTCCTGGGGGATCAGCAATTCCTCCTCCTCCTCCCCTTCCTGGGGGATCAGCAATTCCTCCTCCTCCTCCCCTCCCTGGTGGAGCAGCAATTCCTCCTCCTCCTCCACTTCCTGGTGGAGCAGCGATTCCTCCACCTCCTCCTCTGCCCGGTGGAGCGGTACCTCCACCTCCTCCTCTGCCCGGTGGAGCGGTACCACCACCTCCTCCTCTGCCTGGTGGAGCGGTACCTCCGCCACCTCCACTCCCTGGAGGAGGAGTCCCTCCTCCTCCACCACCGCCTTTTGGTGGGCCTCCAATGCCACCACCCCTTGGAGGTGTTCCCTTTGCTCCCTTTCCGGTGGCACCAGCGTTACCCCACGGGATGAAGGAGAAGAAGAAGTATCAGCTGGAAGTCTCCATGAAGAGAATCAACTGGTCAAAGGTACAACAAGAACTGTGAAACTGATGTTTCTCCCCCTCCTTACTTTACAGATACAGTTACGATTGTACACTGTGAGGAATTTTTAAATGAGATTAATTTTGGCAGAACTTGGTGTTCGGCAAAGTATTCCAGGAAGCCAATTTAGTTCCAGTACATTATATCAGGTGCACTGAACGTGAATTGCAGCTTTGCATTAAGTTGTGTATCTCTGTCTCTCTCTTTCTCTCTCCATATATATGTATCTCCAAACTGTTTTAAAGCAGTTCTCACACACAGCTAGCAGCACGCTATTTCATGCAGAAAGCTTTGAAGTTCATGATGTTTAGAGTAGTTCTAAGTTCAGAGGGTGCAAGTATCAGGCCTGTAATGGTACTGGTAGGTTATTTGTCTGAGATGCTAATTGGCTGTTCTCAATCAGTGATGTGCTGGAGCAGGGCTGTGACCACAGGGAGGAGCCATGGGACTGCTCAAGGGAAAGGTTTGGGCACCATGAGCTTCCAGTCTCTTAACATGTTTCAAGTTAATCACATGTTCTTAGAAGAAAGAATTACCTGTTTTGAGTAGCCTCATTACATTACCTGGGGAGACCTTATTATGGGCTTTCAGTACTTGTAGGAGCCTGTAATAAAACTGGGGACAAATTGTTTAGCAGGGCCTGTTGCTGTGGGTACAAGGGCTAATGGGTTTCAGCTGTAAGAGAGTTGATTGAGTTTAAATACATTTATTTAGGCATCTCACTTAAGCAGTGAAGAGTTTCTGTCAGACATATAACTTATATTTGCTAAACTCAGTTGTTCTTGCTAAGTAATATCTGATTTGAGAGATAATTGCAGGAGCTTTGTAACTGTGAAACATACTCAGAGTGCTGACCAGTAAACACATGGAAAAATAAGCTTTTTAGTTTATAGGACATATTGGTAATTGCATCCAATTTCATTGCAGTAATTTACATTTGTGAGTTTATAGGAATTATTGATAGAGTGTCCATCTGAACACTGGATATGACAATGGGAAGTAACTGCAGATGGATGCTTTGCTTAAGAGCTCTGGGAACAGTGCCAGAGATCTCCTGCCTGCTGAGAAAGTGGAAAGTCTATTTGTTCATCACTTTTAAGGAGCCATCATTTGAGGAATAAAATTCTTAGTGTTTAATTTGGTCCCTTGTGCTGTAACTGTCTTCCCCATTAGTGTTGGATTAAGGTAGTTTTTTTAAAAATATCTTACCTGGAGCTGGTGGTAAAGGAGTGGTAAAAGATGAGGGACCAGAGTGTTGCGGTGAAATTCAAGTGAGACTGACAAATAGAATATTGCTGAATTTCCTGCATATCATCTTGAAGTTAAATAGCCCTTGAAAATTACTTGGCATTTAAACAAACTTGTAAACAAGAATTTATAATATGTTAAAAGCTGTTGGAGGAACATATTTTGAAAACAAAATAGCAGTTCTGAGTCATGCCTGAGACTAAAGTTGTCTTTCAGCTTCTGTATTTCAGAGCACTTTCTTCTTTTAATATAGCCAATACAGGCTTAATACTGAGTCACTGAAGGGTCCACATTGACAGGGCATTTACAGATAAGCTATTCCATACTCTGTCAGTGTAAGAAGGAATGTTCCTCCTACAGTCCTCAAGTATCAGGGGTGCATAGCAGTGGGGAAGAATTTGGGAACTCCCTGTGAAGTAATCCAGAGAAAACTGGGACACTTGCAAACCCAGATGCTAATATATTATCAGACCTGCTTGGAGAATTTGTTGAATGGGGGAAATACAGTAAAACCCATTTGTGGTTAGAGGGCAGGTAATTCTGTTTGTGCAAGAAGCTTCATTATTAGAACATACCCGGAACGTAGATTAACTTCATTCAGTCCAATTATCACAAACTTTTGTTGTTATTATCACACACTTGTTTTAACTTGGTTTTGAAAACACTAGTTATTGACTTTGGAGATGCCATTTTCTTTCAGATTGAGCCTCAAGAGATAGGAGAAAACAGCTTTTGGGTAAAAGCTGAAGAAGATAAATTTGAAAACCCGGAGCTGTTTGCAAAATTGGCGCTTACCTTTGGAACCCAAATGAAAGGTACATTCTTATTTTACTTTTTATTATGCTTCTACTAAGTTTAAAACTGTGCAATGACAATCTCTTTTATAGTTTGTGAGATACCATATCATACTTACGATAGTTTTATAGCAGGGAGATGATGTAAAACCCATGTTTTTATTAAGCATAGGAGTCTGGTACAAGAATTGCTCGTCCCTCACGTTGCGACATAAGGAAAGGAATCTTTTTGCAAGAATATTTCTTTAAAGTGTAGGGTATATTGCAGGCAGATGTGAATTCTTCAAATTATAATTAAGTTGAAATTCTGATCCTAAAATCATGCCTTATTTGCATTAATATGCAGTCATCATATTCCTCAGCTGCAAGAACTGTAAGTGGTCAGGTTCTGGTAGATATTCCAGATGTGGAGGGTATGTTGTGTAACAGATATTCACTTGCTTGTACAACTCTGCTAAACCACAATCCTCTACAAGTAAACCTTGGGATGTAGCAATTACAACATGCAGTTAAATCACAAGATCATAACTATACTGTGCCCTCTTGTCATGATTTTGGAATATGAATGATCATTCATATGATGATCATTCTTTTTAAACTTACTGTGTTTGTGTCCCTAGTATTAACTTTCACTTTTTTTTTTAAATACTCTATGTAGCTGTCATTTAAGGAAGAAGTTTTTAAGTATACTCTATTAATTAGCATTTAAATTTCTGTTTGTGTAGTTTAACAATCATTTCCCCCACCCCCAAGTTCTGTGTAGTCCAAATGCATTGCTGTCATTAGTGAATGTTGTAAGCTAGTTTTCAAAGGGTTGAATATGTGAGAGCAGACTTTTTAAACTGTTTGCATAATACCATGGAAAAGCATCAGATAATCACATTTTTTTGCTGAACCATTTTGAAACAGGTCTGTTTGAATGCTGCAGAGAACACCACAATGAGAATAAAAACTATGCTGGAGCTTTAGCAGGTGTAACTGAGGCTGATCAGAACGTTATGCAAATACCTCTTCTGTTACTGGTTTTAGATAAAAACCAGTTTAATTTCTCAAGCACTTGATTCCTTCAATAGGAAATACAATGATAATATTTGTATTGTAAGTTATGAGTGCATTTACTAGCAACTGAATATTGGTGATGATTTTGATACCTTAGTACTGTTCTCAGCTCCTCAAATGGTCTTACAGTTGTCTAAGATTGCACTTAGTTTTTTTAGAAAGTCTTTTCATTATTATCTGCGCTTGATGGTCATTTGCTTCAGGCAAAGAAAACAAGCAAACACTGCTGAAGTATGATTCAGTAATAACTTACTCAGGAGCTCATGGGGAAGCCTAACAAATTAGAGTCCAGGAAAAGGTGGATAGCGAAAGAATGAATTCCTGGTCTAGCAACAAATCTTTTGTCCATTCATCAAAGAGTTGCAGTATTTCAGGGTTGTGCAGTTCCTAAAGGTGGATGGAATCAGGTGTATCAAGTGTTCATAGGCCAAATAAGCAATCACAGTTTTGAATGTGCTGCTTTGTTTGGGAGTTTTGGGGGGTTTTATAGCACTACAGTTGAAATGATGTGGAGTTGGTCATTGGTTTTAGTATGTCAGGAAGACCTTTAAGGGAAACAATGCCTGTCATGAAAATGACAAACTTCTGCCTTGAGCTGAATTTTTTCATCAGAAATTGGAACAAATGTTTCTGAATTCCTGAAAAGCTTATTTGTTAAAAATATTGAAAAAACCTTCTTGAAATTTTGACGTAGATGTCATTTTCCCATGAGAAGAAATTCTTGTTGACACAGTTGCACAGTTCTGAAACCGGGAACAACAGAAATTCTCCAAATAGCTTACTGTAGTGATAGCCATGCAGATATTTTTCCTGTTGTTTCTTGTGTTCTTCTCAGTTAATGATTATAGAAGACAAGATGCCATAACAAAAACTGCAAATTCAAAATGTTACTGCATATTACTCAGGATATGAAGATCTTACTGGTGTGATTCATAGAGAAAGTCAGTGTTGTCTGTCTTTGAGTTCAAGTTTTTCTTGAAACTTCAAAATCTACTAAGTCAAAATGAATCTCAGAGCATTCAGTTGCAGTGCACGCCCATAAAATTGCATTCCAGAAGCAACTTTTTTTTGCAACTGCTGTCTGCAAAGGGAAATGTGGAATAATGTTCACCATTCTTCCTCACCTTTTGCCTTAAGAGTCACAGGCAGCTCAGTAATCCCCCAGATACCTATTTCAAGCATGATCTGGGATCAAATTTCTCTTCTGCTTTAGTCCCATTTTTTAGTGTGCTCTCCTAATACATTATAGGAGAAGGATAGAAAAACAACTAGAAATGCATTTTATATTCTCAAGAGCACAGTCAGCGTGTAAAACAAATAAATGGATGAGTGGAAGAAAACTGACAATTGCCAAAAGCAATTGTGATGCCTTAGTGTTTACTCTTGTATTTCATGGCATTTTGGAATACCCACGGGAATAGTCACTGAAGTAAAAGAAATAGCATACACACTTATTAAAAATTTGCAATTCCATTTAAGTTGTGGCACTGAAATTTGATAAAACCTCTGGATTCTATTCATGAGTCTTTGGCACAATGAGAACAAAACTTTGTGTATTTTTCTCACCTAACATAGTATTGTTTTTAGATACTCCAGAAATAACTTAATGTTGGTTATCTCTACACTGTGAGTTGTCTTGCTGTTTGAGTGCTACTTGTTTTCAAGGAACGCAGCCAGAGCTGTTGGGAAGTGGTACTTTTGGAGGGAAATATTCTAATGGTTGAACAAGAATTTATACTTAGTATCTTAATCCCATGTGGTTATTTATCTCAGGAAGCTTGGTCTACTTGTTTCTGGTAGAGTTGGGGTGTGTATGCTTGCAGTTCTGTAGAATATCTTAAAAACCCCATCACCTAAAATTAATGGTTTAAAACATTGGTGTTCTTGGCAAGAACCTACTTAAAGCAAGTCTGAAATAATTTAAGCAGGTCATGTGATGTTGTGCAGCTGGAGCATTGTTTTATCAGACTTTGCTTTTGTCCTTTAATTGACATCAGATTTTATCCTTGGCCACCACTGTGAGGAATGAGAACAGCAGCAGCAGTGTCATGTATGTAGTGCTTTGTGGAATAAGATGTCAGAAAGCTCCCTATGTTAGTGTTGAATTTTTGGAATGTTAAATATAAGTAGAACTGTGTGGTGAAGTGTTTGCTAACAGGTAAAAGTAAAGGACTGAAATGTTATGACTCTGTAGACAAGTTGTGACACATCATATGCTTGGGGCCTGAGATAACTTTGCCAAGATGTGACAATACTCAATGTATGGGGCCTGCTGCAATCAAAATCACTTCTCACTGTTTGATTGATAGTCTAATTGCAGAACACTGCAAAGCAAGTTAATGCCTTCTCCCTGAAGGATCATGTTAATTTCTGGCTCTTGTAATTTAGGTTGTGTATTTTGCCAGTCAAGAATGATAGTAGTGCTCTGAAGAAATTAATTATGTGTACAGTAGATCTGTAAAGGTAGTAATTAGTACATAATAGTCTGTAACTACTGGGATTGTTCCAGTATAGAATTCATTATCCATCCAACTTGCCTCAAGGGAAAACTTCTCGATCAGGATTCTCTTGCTTCTTTATGATTAGACTTCTAAAATACAATTCAATAATAATTTTGATATGTTTTCAGAATTGAAGCAAGGTCTTAATAGCTGAGTTGTGTTTTTCACGTTATTGGAGTTTGAGTGAGAAAGGACAAAATACTAACTTCCATGTCAGCTATAACTGAACTAAACATGAACAAAATATTTCTTAAAAGGTATTGACAATTTATTTCTGCTGGTAGATCATTGACTAGAACCTTCTGTTTGCATCTGTTGATTGGGGTATCTTAGCAAGACTTCCTTCAGCTCTGGTAAAATTTCTGCATGTTTTCCTTTTCTGCCTTAAAGTGCTTGGATGTCTACATTCTAATTACAGTGAATCATTAAGACTCGAGCTGCAGTAGTCTTTTGATTGCCACCTACTTTCTGTGGGTACATGGCATTTGAGGTCTAAATGCCAGCTTTCTTGGAGCAGTGAATTAAAGGCTGGTATGTAGGTGGGCTGCTACTCCCACCCACTTCCAGCTTTTATTTGCCCTTGCTTGTGGCATCCACAGGAACACCTTATTATACCTTATATTTTCTACTGTTAAGAAAACATGCCATAAAGTTTGAACAACTTAGCTGTTCAGTATTGAAGTTATTCTTCTTCCCCAAACCTTCTATAGTACAGCAAAAGCAAAGGCATAACTCTGTATATTTAGTTTCTTCACATGTGTTGAACAAATCAGTGTATTTTTGTTAGGTTTTAATTGAAACAACCCTTCTGGTTTAAACACAATTTTTTGATACTAATAACATATTAATTCTGTAATATCCATGTGCAAGTGAATGGTGTACTCTTACTCATTAGCATCATGGAGATATTAATGTTACATTCACATGTGGAATACCTATGTGCAGCCTTGAGTGAGTTTTTTTTGAAGCCCTGTTGCTGTTTCTCATTGAGCCATTGAATGTTCACTGCAGTTTGTCTTTCGAATCTTATTGTACCTTCTAATTTTAATTTTTGCAAGGGACCTTTCTGCAAGAAGGTAATGTAGAACCTGGCTAGGAACGGTACTGTCTTGTGTTCTACATTTGATATAAAGCAGCATGGTTTTTGAAATCCTGAAGAAAATAGTGTGTAAATTTTTTCCTCCGTGAAACCACGCATTCTTAAAGGTAGTGTGTTATTTTTTGTTAAATTAGTTAATTTGGTGTTGTGTTTTGTTTTTTTTTTAATGTCTAGAGTAACTTATTGTTGTGGTTTAACACTTAGACTATTTTAATCTATACCTCTGCCAGATAATGAGGAGTGGGCAGAGTCAGACAGTCTGGCTTCAAAAAAATCAGTTTCTTTTTGTTCCTTCCCTTGCCCTCCCTAATTAACAGGTATGTCTTTCTGACAAGAATTTTATTTTTAACCCCCTCTGTGAC